TTATACAGTAACTTTCATTTTACCACTTGCAGATTTACATAAGAAGGTACGCGCCATCTAGCGGCAAAGGCTCAAAACGATATCTGATCTTATCATATTTAAAGTGATTGAAAAATTGTCCAAATTTTTCGAAACAATTTATTTGTTATTTTCAGATCAATAAATACTAATGGATTTTAAAATGTTTAAAATGACTTTTTTGGTCGCTTAATTAATGCGCTTCAGCGATATTTTCAACTTCAACGAAAAACTTCCAAACAGCGTGAATCTTATATATATTCTCGTTTCATCAGACAACTCGACAAAAATCTTTACATGATAATTTCCAGGAAATTATGAAAAAATACTCAAGTACAGCATTTAGCCTACGTAAACTTACATCCTTTAGTCACTGTTATTGCATGTCCCAAACATTTTCTTCTTTTTCAAGATTCATTTTTTTTTTTCAATATTTCATTGCAACCTAATTTCCAAATAAATTATTCTGCTTACGGAATATACATATTTGTTCTATGATGCCACGTTTTCAGAATATGATTCAATTTTTTTATTAGTACTCACATTTTTAACATCATCTATACCTGTCTAGTACTCAAACCCGCAGGATATTCCCCAAGGTCTCTTTACGTATGATTCAAAAATTACTACTTCCCCGCGCTAAATGTTGCAGCGTGCATCGGATAATTGGTTCGGTAATCGAACACGAGGGCGTTTCCTTGCGTGATCAATTTTACTTCACACAGAGTCTTTGTAGAGATCTCCATAACGCATAAATTGATTTTGTGACTTGACCGTTGCCACTAAGAAATTATTTGGCACAAATACACCTATGGTGTTTTTTCCTCATGCAAATTATGCAGATCATTGAATGATTTTTCCTGGTTTTTCGGAAATTGGTCTCTCTAATTTTTCTGTTTCACATTCCAATCGAAAGATAATCTGATAATTGTGACACAATTATAAAAAATAATAAACGACTACTTTTAGGGTCTTATAAAAATTCAGTTGAAATACATCATCATTTCATGGAAATATTTCATTATGTAAAATGCGATGAAAGGATATTTAATGCTATTAAAGTATTCCAGACACACTTTGATTTGCACTATTTCTTCAGCACATCCTTGCAGATCCATGGCGTCTCGAAAGACTCCGAGTTATTTCATTCCTTTTTTGCTCTTAAACCCGAGGATATACAGTTTGCAGGTATTACATTTTCCACTTATTTTATAGAACGCGAAATCATTACATCCCGCAAGATTATAAATAAAACGTACGTGTATAAGCCGAGCGCAAATGTTCAAGGAGGTAAGACGTATAATTCTCGTCCCTCTCTCTCTACTCTCTACTCTTTCGGAACACATGTAGGATATATATGTTCTAGCTCTTTACAGATGATCGCGCGCGCGCACACACGCGTCAACGAGGCGCACATAAGCGACAAGTTCCGGCTTGCAGCGGGCTTATAAGGTGTGCAAGATGATAATAATAAGTTATCATCGAGCAGCTCGTTAGATACAAAGCGCAATTTTCCTGCGATTCTCGCTACATGAAAATATAAAGCGACCGAATCGTTACGTATCGACGCACGCGTGACGCTACATTTAGTACACGGATAGATACGTGTAGTCGACGTCTACTTTTTTTTTCTTCGATTACGGCGCACGATGGGATGGGTGAAGTGTCGAACAGTAAGAAAACTTCAAGCCTCGTATGGTGATTGAAGATATTTAAAGCTTTCCATCTCAAGTTGTCAAAGCTCGTTGAATCGTTTTGAGTGCAATGGAACAATGCGCATAATTACTTTGTAATTTTGGGGTTCTTGATGAATCGAGTACAGTAGTTATCAATGCTGAAAGAAACTTTATTATCGAGTCAATTTATTGTATTTCTCTTTGTAAATAAAAAGGAAAAAAAAACTTTTTTGATGCAATAACCGATTTGATCTATGGAATTGAATTATCATATATAGTATAATCATCTTTCCTACCTGAATTTTACAGTAGTTACATTCGAAGTAAACTTCTAACCCGTGGCTCCTTTTAACCATTCTCAGCGCGATAAAGCTGTACTTAGATAGTAATTCTTTGACGTATAGAGGCTGCGCTCGTGCATATATTCTCAAAGAGCAGTCGGGGATTTACCACAATATTGACAACAAGAAATTATCGAGTCGCTCGATCTCGTCGCATGCGCCAAGAGATTTTATACGACCTGCTGAATCGAGAAGGAGCTCTGCGTGCTTACCCGGATGATAATCATCGTATAAACCCCTCGCAAACGGATACCGTGTACATACGCTCGGGCGATCGATGCTGCATGCTAAATCCCAACTGTAGTTTACGTGCAGACGTGTACGGTGTGTACTCTTTACGTGTTTAATCCTAAATTGGTGCATACATATTTTAGGAGATGATATTAAGATATTTATGCTTATAATGTTACATAGTTGGAAAAAAAACGAAAGAAAAGAGTGAAATCGAGCAGCTCGAAAAATGCTTAACCTGATTTCATTTCACTCTCGTTTCACATTGTTGCTACTACTGTAACTCTTGTATATGGAAGCGATTATATGCGAGAAAAACACGATCGCTTACAATAAACACTATTTATGATGCAAAATACTATTGAATGAAATCAGCTCCGTAGAAACGGCTAAAAGGATATATTGGCCGTGAGCGTAATTTGACAACGAACCTCGACTTATTAATATTTAATGAAAGTGGCAAATTTCGTAACTCCAAATGATCGAATGCACTTAAAACGCTGGGCGTTGTCTCATTGAATTGCCTTTAACGAACGTGATAATCCTACAAAGCACGTCGAGTAGAGTGTCGCGTGAATTTATCGATGCTTTTATATCATTTGCGCTCTTTTGCCATAGACATTGACAATCGGCTTAGGCAGTTTTTAGCAATCAAAGTGTGCACGTTTTCTAGATGATAGAATAAATTGAAATAAAAACATAGTACGCCAAATGCAATGGATCGCATTAAGAGAACCGTTTATTACCGCTTGCATTCGAAGAATGTAATCTTTCAGTACTACTTTCATATGTGCAACAAGGCATTCATATGATATCAAAATGTAATGGTACAAAGAAAAACTTGACGTTAAACATTTACTTTAAAAAAATGACATTCTTTGATTATGGCTGATGTAACGTCGCCTACGAATAGGCCACAAAAATTCAAAACTTCGAAAACCTCCAAAACGCCTGCCCGTAGGCAGCCCGTCTTACATGCAGCTCCGCGAGCTAGTCGGGACTTCCCGAACGGCCCGGCGCCCAGCTGTAAGAAATCTAACGCCTTTTTTTTACGACCGCCATAAACACTCAACAGATACATTTTTCGACAAAGAAAAAGGCCACATCGAACGATCGAGAAAACGAACGTTCGAGAATATGAAAACACATGGCAAATATTTCTAACCGATATGTAAAACGCCCGAATTATTTAATAACTAATATTCACTCCGAAGCGGCCTCAAATTGAGACCGATACACCTCGATTTCTACAAACTCTCTTTTCTTTCATAAAACCTCTCCCTGCCTCCCGCAATAAACAATAAGTCCATAAACAATCTAAGAATTACAATAAACAGCCAATGTTAATGTGAGGAACAGCGGGACAACCGAAATAGCAACGAACAGCTAAGTATAACATTTACCCTATGATGTAACAAACCAATTAAAAAAGAACAATTAATAACAATTATTTGCAACTGAATAAACATAATTACAACATCACTTGTAAGTACAATGTTCGAGAACATTCGATGGTCGGCTTGGAAATTGGAAAAGGACAGAGAGACAAAACCTTCGGCGCAACGTCGTCATACGACAGATTGGGCCTATCAAAGCTCTCAAAGAGCGATAAAAATCCTAGCCGCCGAAAGGCAGCGTAGACTAAGTCACCAAAAACTTCAGTCGACTCTGCCTACTCGTGCTCCAGCAGTCTAATAGTGCAGACGTACATTAAAATCGCGCTCCGCGAGTAAAAGTGAAGTGCTTTTAACAACTTATAAAATAGAGCTCACTGTCCGGCCCTAGCTTCCAAGCCATCCAGTTCGCTTGTACAACTAATCCACGAAAATGTAAGTCTACGTATAATGTCTTAAATAAACTCTCTATTTTCTCTATATAAAATTACTCTCTCTCAATTCTTGCTATCCACCTACAAACATGCTACGCTAAATAAGTAATAATAAACCTAGTACATTCACTGCCGACCTGGCGATGAACGAGCAATCGTTTCGCCGGGTCGAACGTGTTCCTCTTCCATACAAATACACGTCGCTCGCAAGTCGCCGGTCCTCAGCCGACCTCTTGTGTCTCGTCTCCTCGTGGACGTGGCACGAGAAAAGGCTAAAATCGTTATCCGAGGCCACGCGAACCTTCGGTTTGCAACACTAAGTCCCTTCTGGACGTTACACTGAACTAAGCTGTAATTTTTATTCTACGGTGAGAAATAAAATGCAGTTGAAATCAGTTTAACATTTGAACCACTGTGACTGTAAATATTTTTTAATTACTGCAAAATATTTTAAAAAATTTAACGATATCAAGAGTGAGAAAAAATAAAATGACAGCTGGTAAAGAATTTTGAAAGTTGCGAGGAAATAAAAACTGTACCTTTTGATACAGTAGTCTTTGTCGCTGTGTGGCAAGTTGCGACGCATCAGCATAGATGGAGTTATGTATATCACACATCATACATTAAAATTTCTTTCGTTAGTTGTAAACTTTGTTAACGCTTTTTCAAGTGTTTTTGTCATAACAACTCTAAAGTTATCGTTTCGTTATTGTAAAATATGCTCTGTTATTATAAATTTGAACAATAACTTCAGTCTCACTAATAACTTTTGAAAAAATAATAGCTTTCAATCAATTACTAACGTAGGACGTCTATTTTAAATAGTTCAATTGAACAGCTACATTAGTAAAATGAAAAATTCGTTGTCAATTATATATACTTTAATAACAATAAAACTTGCTTTATTTTGTTTACATACTATTATTTGTTTGTAGATTTTCGATTTTCATATATTCAAAAAAAAAACACGATAAAATTCACATAAACATCTGTCCAATTTGTATGCGTAGGTATTTTTAGTAGATAGTTTTATATCAACTTTCACCTCATACTTTTTTCTTTATTTTTGATAGATCATTTAGTTACATCATTTAGTTCACAAAGCAAACAAAAACTATTGCTACTAGCCTTGGACGCATAAGAATATAGAATACTCAGTGAATTTCTATAAATAGGAAATAAAAAAAATATATACACAAAATATTAACAAAACTAAATGGTTTTGATACGAGGGTGTATTTGAAATGCTCACCATTAATAATGGCCTAATGACCAAAAAATGAATAAAGTTTTCAAACACATTACCATTTTAACTCGTTTTTGACGAATTTGCTGTTGCAATTATGTTTCAAATATTAAGCGCATTTAAATGGCCTGATTTCATTCGCAAACATGACAACATGATTTCATAAAGTTTAGCCCAGTTTTCAATCACTTTAAATGCGATAGTACCACTTTAGGCATCCACCGGAAGATGGCGAGTACTTTTATCTGTTAATCTGCAAGGGGTATCTAACGATGAGGCCAATAAAATTACTACTGCAAGGAGCAAAGTTAACTGAGCAAACCAAGAAACTTTTTTGATGGTCGAAAATAAGCCATAATTTGTTTAGCATTTCTACCATAGGTGCAAAAATTATTTTATGTACATATTTAGACTCTTTCACTCATAATAAGGTCCTTGCTATTATCTATCATATGTTCTTTGGTATTAAAATTAACTTGATTATTATTAAGTTCATTGACAATATCTTCACGTTTACGTCCTTTCGTTTCGGGTACTAAATAATACGAAAATACGAAACATCCGGCGCACATGCATCCAAGAATCGTAAAACAGCCTTCGATTCCAACCAAAGACATTAGAGGGCCGAAAAGCTTGATCACCGTGAAAGCCATGCCCCAGAGAAATACAAAGCAGACGGTATTGGCGAAACTCGATACTTCGGTGCGAAACACTTCGGAGGCTACGACGAAGGGCACTGGGCCCATGCCCAGACAGTACGAAACCATGTAGGCCGACAAGGCGATAATTGGTAAAAATGAAATGGACGACAAATCATGACCAGAGCTTTGCACGTAACAGAATGATCCGATTATGAAGTGGCATATGCACATTCCGGCACAGGATACGAGAATCAGCGGCCGTCGACCTGCCCTTTCCATCAGCACCGTTGACAAATAAGAGCTAAATACTTGGATTACTCCTATGATGATAGCGGAAACTTCTGGTTGCAGAGAAGTACCAGCCATTTTGAAAATTGTTTCGGCATAACTTATCTGTTGTAATTTAAAATATGGATGTTTAATCGTTCGATATGAAAACATGGTGCATAAAAACAGTAACTTTACCATAGCGAAGATACCACTCAGTTGCTGTCCGCCCAAGAGTCCGAATGAAATTATTAAACCTTTCAATGTCGCTGGGTCTCTTACCAGATCGCACAAGCTAATTGAATTCGGCTGATCGACTGAACTTTTAACTTGAGCTTGTAAACGGGATAACTCTTCGGACACCAATGCTTTGTTATTACCTCTGTAGTATAATAGTGACCTGAAAAATACATCGATTAGTTTGGCATTTACAAAAGCTCATAAAAATTCGAGCTTTACCTCGTGGCCTCGCTGATACGATTGCGTTTCAATAAATACACCGGCGTTTCTGGTAAAAAGAAGAAAGACACGGCAAACAGCACTGGAAATACCATGCAAAAAACGTGAAACAGAACGTACGACATGTACGTCCCAGCCACAAAAGCCAAGAGTATGCCGATATTAATGGCAAGGACCAGCAGACTGCCCAGCAGCCCGCGTATGTTTTCGCTGGCGATTTCACTGACGTAAGTGGATACTATGAATATCGACATGGAGCCGGCCACCCCGGCGATGAAACGCGCCACGTAGAGGCAATTATGATCCGTAGCAAAGAGAATCAACAGCCAAGATAAAAACATCGGGCCGGCGGTGAGGTAGCCGTAAGCTTTGCGACCGAAGCGCTCGGCCAAGCTGCTGGAAAACGGAGCTATGGAAAGACCCCCGAGGCAAAGTAAACTTCCGATCCACGAAGCTCCTTCGTCGCTCATTTGCTCGTTTATCACTGGATTTTTCTCCACGTTCATCAGCAATGGTACGATCGGCGAGGGCCAGCCACATATTATACCGTACGTCACTGCCGATAGATTCACTGCGAACGAAAAAGAGATTTTCACTTCGATTTGTTGACATTTCGAGATAATTAACTTTTCAAATTTTACACTTCGAATCGATGTCTTGCAAAATTTTACAATCAATATCATTGTTTATTTTACACGCGTGCGATTCGTTTCACATTTCAACGAAAGATAACACTTCAAACTCAAATTAGATAATGTAGCATTGAGATTTTACACCAAGCAAATCTTGTTAAAAATTTAAATGTTAAAACTCACGTATAATAGCGGCTAAGATTTGCTTCAATTTCCCATCGTCCGCGGAGGTGCCCGTGAATTCTGTCATGGTGTTAACTTTTAGCTTTTGAACTGATATTTCTGCGCAACATCAACGAAAAACTTGTGTGCAACAGCTGCGAGCAATATTATTGAAATGATGTGCGCGAAGGAATCTTATCGTTCAATTCGTACGACTCGTGCGGAGGTTCTTGAATTGCAATGTGATAATAGTCAAATCAATAGTTCTTGAGTGCGTATGAGATAGAGTGCATTAAAATTTTTAATTTATAATGATTGATGCAAGGAAAAATAACGTGCAAACGTCATGAATTATAAAGTCACTAATCAAATAGATTAAATAGTTGAATAAACTCGATAATTTTTAAATTTCGTGTCTGTACAATCATATTTTAAAGTATGATTATTATTCAATTGAATTTAAAATTTCCAAAAAACTTTTCAACAAGAATATTTTCAGGTAAATTACTATTAATAGAATTTAAAACGTACGAGATGGATTTAAATTCATTTTCATGTTATCGAATGATCAATTCGATTTGTACTGATCAATTAATCAGGAATCTTGTCAAGTTTCATCAATCAGCCCGTAATTAACATTTCTCTCACTGACTCTAGATTCACTTTGCTGTTTCATAGTTTCAGTTCGATTACTAATTTAACATTGTCTTTACAACGATTGTATAAAAATATTCATTGACGGAAATAGAAAAATATGCTACAGTTCATAAATTTTCAAAAAGATTGCAACGAATAAATTAAACTAAATTTTTAATACGCATGAAGTTTTTTTCATTATACTTAAATTAATATTGGGATTGCATACGATCAAAAGAGTCAATGTAATTCATCAATTCATTACAGTCGGCTCAACATGATCTTACGAAATGAAACAATGAATTAAGCAAACATTCATAAAAAATTCGATTGTAACCCTTTGTGAAAGGGAAGAAAGTCTCAGCTAGACATTAAATCCGGCAAAGTTTCGTAAGAAATAGACTTTCCCCTTTGACTCTGATGTTTAATCTACTGTGCAAAACGAGATTCAAGGGTGAAATCACGTAAAATATATAGTTCCTTAGTAGCACTTGAAGGATAATTCGTTAATTCATCTTCAGGTATTAGACCATCCAATCCACTGCAGCACACCAACATTTAGTTTTTAATTTTTTACTTAAAATTTGTATAATAATAAATGCTTGATAAGTTATATATTATTTTTTATTGACCACATTAAAACGCGTGGCTTATATTATAATTCAAGTGTATTAAAGTGCTTTAGATAATTAGCGTCTGCACAAAAAAATATCTCTATTGAGATATGCAAGTAATCTTGCGACATTCACCGAGTCCGATGCCGATTTTTGAATTTTAACTTATGTAAAAATTGAGAAAGTAGATGATGGAGGAATGAAAAATTTATGTAAGGGCCCGAGGTGCAGCAGCGCGTCGTCATTTGCTCGAAAAATTTATGCTCATAACAGGTGCATCACTTGGCAGCAATATTATGCCTTATTACCAACTCATAACAATAACTTCATGAGCGTAGCTGTTATTTGGCAATTTCTTTCCCGGAAATTCCACACGTTCTTCGTTGCGCTTTTATGATGAATGCGTTTTTTATATAAAAGGGAGTACAGTTCTTGTGAAAAGCTATAATATAATCACTCGTTATTGCTATGCTCTCATTTATTAACAAGATCCATTAAAATTGTAAGATCCGAATGAAAAAAAAGCAAATCACAACAAAGGCCGATGCAAAAGTCGAAAAGATCGAAAAAGCCAAAAAAAGAGAGCTTGCAACGGCCCTGTTTCTGTTTGCAACACCGCGAAAATACCAAAAGCGAGCCCGAGCGCGACTAGGAATAAGGGAGAGTATATATATGCATGAAAAAGAGAAAAGGGGAAGGTTGGAAATTTCTCTGCGTTGAAAGGGAATCGTGTGGCCAGGCAAAGTTGCAGCAGCAGCAGCAGCAGTTGTAGGAGAAGGAGGGTGAGTTTCCGACTTCGAATGAGAAAAAAAGAACACTTCAGACAAAGCCTAATTAGGGGAGGGATTAAACGCAGTAAAGACCATCGTATACGATAATACTGTTTCTGCCGCTATTGCCTCGCGTACTGCCTATATCCGTGCGCTCCTTGTATCGCACAGTGCCGTATTCAGGCCTAACCGGCGCGCTCAAAAGTTAAATTAAATGCCGGAGAATTACGCTCGTGTTTTATTTGCTGGATTTAAGTTGCAGTTGATATGTGTGCTTTATTTAATGCAGAGATTCTTTGCCGGCAGGCCTCGCGTTCAGACTTTTCTAAATTTTTAATGGCTCGACTAGTACCACTCGTGGCTCGAACTAATGAACTTGTCTACTAGATAAACGAAATCCATGAAAAAATTACGCACGAGCACAATTAGTACTCGTAGGTTGGATCATCTCATAAATTTTCTCATAGAGGTACTAAAGTTCGAGGTCACATTTATCACTTGAATTCTGTGTTTTTCCACTTTTCTAAAAAATGATCTAACATAATTTTTTTCCTCGAGTCATTTCTAGAATTCCATCATTGTTTTACAGTTGAAAGTAAAGAGCATTGACGTCTAATAGTCACAATTAAAGTGCTACTGACTATAAGTCGTATCGATGGCTGTGTCGACGTCGTCATTGATTTCTCTCCGCGTTAGGCATTGGGAAATTTAAGCATGTGCATGTAGTGCTGCCGTGCACTGGGCGCCGCGCCACGCCAAGCGTAAACGCATTGGCCAAGAGTAATTGACGCTCGATGTATATACGCCTAATTGCGTTGGGATCCTTGTCGAGCGTGCACCAGCCGATGCATACTCGGAAGCTGAGCGAGTGTGTGATTATCTGAGTCATGCACAACCATGTAAATATTTTCGATAAGTGCCAAGCTCGTCCACGCTTAAAATCTTCAATACTCTTAAAACAAAATATGATATAGATGTTTTTGCGTTTTCCACGCTCAGACTTATGCAATTATTTTTACTTTGTCACTTGCAGATTTACAGATTAAGTCACTCGCCATCTACAGTTGCTACAAATAGATTTTGCCTACGTTTAAAATGTCTTAGTTTAAATTAAATCCACTCGTTAACAAAAGACGTTGAATATGTTTTTGCGTTTTTCATGTTTAGGCTTATACATTCATTTTTACATTGCCACTTGCAGATTTGAAGATGGAGGTACTCGCCATCTAGCGGTGAGACAAATAGATTTTGCCTAAGTTTAAAATTTTATAGGTTAAATTAAGCTTTTTTTTTGAAATGACAGCCCGTTGATACAGTACCGAGCTATGCCAAGGAAAATAAAAGAGCAGTGCAATTTGAAGAAGCTATCTCACTATCAGATGACTGATTTTGCGATTTGGCTATTATCCAAAAGACTCGATCTCCTAACTCAGAGCAAAATATGCCGACAGCTATACGTATATAGCGACAACGAAGAGTAGGCAAAGTAGTTGAGATATTAGGCGTATCAAGGATTTTCATATTTTAACTGGTATATATACTAGTGGCAGTGTTAAAATTTTACATTTTGGTTGTTTATGCGATTAATATCAAATTGCACATGAGGCGTAATAATTTAAATTTGTAAATCATCATTTATCACACTGTTATTTAGATTTAAACGTTACACATTGACAAACTTAATAGATAAAATTATAAATTTCGAATACATTAATATTTACAAATGAATTACTCGATTATACTGTTATATTTTAGTTGGTAGTATACAAAAAATTAATTAAAAATAAGAATTCGCATCTTCCTTTTCGATTTGCTCAGTAGAACAATTTTTAAACTACAACAAACGTGTTCTAAAATGCGCAGTTCACTTACCTAACATTTTTCAGAAGCGTATGTTATCAAATTTACACACCTTACTCTAAAATTTATGATCGGATGTCATACATTTCCTCGTCACTCTTTGAATAGAAAATTGATAATGCTCCGCGTTTTGTATGTCTAACGTCATTCGAATTAGTGCATTGATAGTGGTTTTCTCCACTATGGAGAATCGCCCGATTCACATTTAAAGTGCAATGCAGGCATAATTGTGAATGGCGCCATTACCCGGTGCAATTGTGCCCGGAGAAAAGTCCAAAACGTACAAAACATTATAAAGAAAATGCCGCTTTATCTCGGCAATGCTTCGTCGGAACAAGATGATTTGGAATGCCAGCGGCGTGTGAATTATACTCTCCGACACGAGTGAACCCGAACATCGCGTCGTTAGGCACGAACTTTGAAACATCTCGTCATTAGGATTAAGCATACTTTCTCTCTTTCTTTTTTTTTCTTCCTTTTTCTCTTTCGCATTTACGCTTTTTTCATTGCGCACTTTACTCGTCGTTTTACTCGGCTAAATTCTATTTTGATTTTATCAATAAGTATGAATTTAACTTTCACTTGGTTTTATAAAAAAGTAATGCTCGCTATTTTTTGATTAAAATGATGGCTGAGCTATTTGGATCGTTGTGCGCAAGTACCCCCCTATGCTCACACAATAAAAGCTCGACTGTCCTTTCTTCTATCTTGAACGTATATACGCACGATGTGAAAAGGGGGGGAAGGCCATAAGCCGCGAAGAGCGACAGAAACAGCAGCTTTTTGTCTCGGTCATTATCTCGCGCGACCGGAGTGCTTTTCATTCCGCGTCCACCTTTTGTATGTCCAGCTCGACGTATATGAATATGCTTTCATTGCGCTAATTGTCCGTATGGCTTTACATTTTTCATTCCGGTTTGTCTGATTCGCGAAGATTTTTGTAGGTCAAATTTGTGCAACGTGGCTTGGAACTTCTGGTGCGTTATATATATTTTGAAAAATCTGGAATTTCAAAAATCGGTAAAGTTGAGGCAAATAAACATCAATTCATTTTAACCATGTCGCATACTGCGTGCTTCAAGATGCATCATAAGTGAGTCATTAAGATACCTCAGTGTCATCGATCTATGGACAAGCAATCCATTGTGCTTCTTACTCTCTCTCTCTCTCTCGTTCTCGAGGTATTTTATAGGTGTGTGTGTACGCGCGTTAGTTTATCTCGGGTAAACTTTTCTACGCAGACAAGCCATATAGCCGCACCACGACGCGTTTCATACATAATACGACGTCTGGCTAATGCTTTTGCGCCTTTCCGTGTACACAACCGCGAAACGTGTGAGTGCGGCTCATTCAGCTTATTTGCAAACAAACTTTAAGTAT